TGGGGATCACATGTAGCACCATTTGTACATTCACAATTGTATAAACAATCAGGACCATATTTACCAGCAGAGCAAGCTACATACAATACAGAGTCATAATTGTTAATACAGTAATGTGATAAGTGAAGATTCTGCAACAGCTCCCTCTATAGACCTGTCTGGATAAACAAGGATTCATTCCTTTCAGACAACAGCTCCCTCTATAGACCTGTCTGGATAAACAAGGATTCATTCCTTTCAGACAACAGTCATTCATATTATTATGCTTGCTCAGAAAATACAATGGCACACAAAAAATGACCATGCATTTCTATGGAGCAGTCAAACACTTTAAGGTAAGATTTAAGGTAGAAGCCTAGTTATGATTTCAAATACCCAGAATTTATTAATTTTCCAATAAATTGTACATCCGGGCATTATAAGGATATTGTATTAAAAAAAGTTTGTGATCTCCAACTTAATTTTCAAGAAAATGATGGTTGTATTGACAAATAGTGGCCATTTTGTCAGTATTATAAGCATTCACCATAGGTTGCTATGATAGAGATATTATGCCATATCTCAAGTTGTAGCATGGTGAAAAAATCAAAATTTTTTAATTATGGGGTACTTATTGTAAAAATAGCAATTTTTGAAAAATATTAGGATGAGTTTCTCAAAATACGAGAAATACACAAAATTATGCTACCAGTATATCATGGTGACATGGGACAATAGCTTCATGATCTTACATAGTAAACCAATGAACAGTCTCAAAACTTCCCAGCCTGGTCTATTGAGTGAATGTGATTTTCCTGACAGACAGACAGACAGACAGACAGACAGACAGACAGACAGACAGACAGACAGACATAGGTACATCGAATATATAATTATTTTCTTTGCACAAATTGCTATTGCGCTCACCATATAAAAGTGCTATGCAATGTACCTGTATTAATTATTCACTTGTTTTTAATTTTGCTATTTTCCTCGATATTGAAGTGAATTTTACTAAATTAAATCCAAGTAGAATAACAATAAAAACTCATTGTTTCCCTGCCAAGTTTTTGAACTTAAATGAAATTCCAGTGAAATTGTTCAAAACATCAAAATAGTAAATTAATTGACAGTGAAAATAAATGATTTTATAGTATTTAATAACAATTCTGCTCTAAGCATCGCTACTGGTAATTGCAGATGCCAGATATAAAATAAAGCATGATGTCTAGGAATGCTGAAAAATGCTCAAACAGAGTTAATGTCCAATGGCACCATGAAATAGCATTCTTTTGTGTATTTCTCATTTCTTGAGAAACTTATCCCAATAGTTTTCAAAAATCGCTATTTTTACAATACCAAGTAAATAAACTTACATACCTTCTATGCATGTGTCTCCTGTAAATCCAGGCGGACAATGACACTTTCCTGTCACAGCATTACATAGTGACTGATTAAAACAACTACATTCTTTTAAACAATTAGCACCATGGAAACCAACAGAACAAGCTGAGAATAAATAATATTCAAATTTTAGTACTTCAGTAGATTAAGTTCCCTAAAAGCTCATAATGGTTCAATGACTTAAAAATGATTAACTCAATGAATCAGGTGCTCAATGTCTTAAAGACGGTTAACTCAATGACTCAAGTTTTCAATGTCTTAAAGACGATTAACTCAATGACTCAAGTTTTCAATGTCTTAAAGACGGTTAACTCAATGAATCAGGTGCTCAATGTCTTAAAGACGGTTAACTCAATGACTCAAGTTTTCAATGTCTTAAAGACGATTAACTCAATGACTCAAGTTTTCAATGTCTTAAAGACGGTTAACTCAATGAA